TTCTCGTAAATGGTAAATCAAAAACCGCTTCCTAAATCTGATTCGTTCTTTGACACGTTTGGACCGCCATAACGCGCCCCCGCAACTTTCACTAAACTTCCACGGACTTATGCAAAGAGCTGTATTCCACGGTGCATGTGGTCCTTACTGAATGGTCGAGGATAACTGGAGCCTTTTGGATTTGTAAACAGAAGTGCTGAGCGCTGATCTTGCGGGGACACCCAAAATCTCTGGAAACGCGCGCCAGCGCGGTGGCGCGCTCGGCAAGGCGGCCGGACCGCTGAGATGAACTCGAGTTGGCGCGCTCGAGGTCGAAATTGATGGCGCGCGTCGCACCGCGTACCCCGTATCGCTGCAGTATGCCTAGTTGGCATGTTTGCTAGCGGCGGGGACTCGAGAGCCCGCCCAATATCGTGGCGATGGCCTCCTCCGCGCCAAACGAGTCGGCGCGGCGGCTCGAAATTCGGACGCATGCGCTGCCAAGCCTCGCCGAACGTGGGCACGAGGCTATGCGCGCCAGAGCAGCGCGTGTAGGACGCCAAAAACGTTACGGGAAGTCGTCCGCTGTGCTCCTTGGTAATGCTTTACTACCCATCTTACTCAAGATCAGATGTTTCAGCGCCAGCGTGTCTATCGAATCAACGAGTTCAAATTCGAATCCAAAAGGGACGCTTAAAGTAAGTAAAATATTGAAGACTTCTATAATTGTCGCCTGAGGTAACCAATCGTTACACCTCGCGGAAGAGTCAAGAGGAGTTTCCTCGTAGCGTGATGTTGTAGGCGCGCGTCAAGGGAAATGTACACTGTACACACGCGCCTATGCCCGGCCTTCCAATCTCTGCGTCTGGTTCAACGATGTGATATATAGCTCACAGCAGGACAGGGCACTCACCTCTCCTGACAGTCTCGACCACAATACATCGATCGCTTGCAGGCACTGCATCGTCCACCGCCTGCCAGATCTACAAGGCACCTGTGACAGATGTGGCGCAAGCCTGGCCATATCCACACGGCAGGTCGCAGCGCATGTAGTCGTCCTGGAGACAAACCCTCAAATGACGCTTGGGATGTTGTGTGGTTCCCTAGTCTCGCGATATGCCACATCTGCGCTGTCATCCCTTCGACTGGGCGTGATATCTGTTCTGCCATGTCGAGAAATGAAATAGGCTCTACGCCCACGATGGCGCTGTCATGAGGGGTTGCAAGTTCCTCCAGCAGCAATGCGTAATAACTTGCCGAGTATGGACTGCGCAGCTGCCGGTAGAACGGTCCTACTCGCTGGCCACTCACACTACTGGCGGATTAGTATATTGCATGGTGTGACGTTTTGAGATTAGACTCACAGGCGATGAGTTAGGACATGACGGAGCTGGCGCCATAGAAACTGAGCAACCTCGTCGGGTATTCCCGCAGTCGCGTTGCTCATGCATCGCACATACATGTGGTGTGCCAGGTAGTTGACAGGTTTCATGTATCGCGCGAAATCTGAAGCTTGCTCTGGCTTGCGCTCATAACGGCCCTGAAATCCGACGACACCAAAGACTCTGTAGCTGTACAATCTGTATACCGCATCGACTGTTTGTAGCCAAAGAGCACGATGCTTCGAAGCATCAGTAACAGTTGTCGCGAGCGACGACGATGCGATAATCTCATAACACACCTCCCAATCTTTCTGTATAAGCTCAGCGAGAAGCCAGATGAGGTTTGTAATCTTGATGTATAGTGTTTGGCGTTGAGGAAAGAAGGGTGGTTCGGCAGTGACATGAGGAACCAGGTGCGGCCTCTGCCCGCGCGCGCTGATCTCTCGCAGGAGTGAGAGGATGGGACCAAAGTCATCGCCCTTCGAACGTTGAATCTCCTCGATGGTGTCGATTGAGGTGGACAAGAATGGATCGCAGAAATGGGCCGCGAGGAGGGTAGACGTCGCCATGAAGGTGGGTCGACAAGGGCAACTCAGTTGTATCGTGCAGGTTTGTTCACGACAGATAGGCGTTGATAGTCCAGGGCACAAGCTACTGAAACAGAGATGCCCAAACAAAATTGTATTATCATTGCTAGATGTCCCATGCACTCCGACATAGCGTGAGTCCGCAGGATATACTGTCCATTCCATGAGCGCGTCTAGCTTGCGTCTGGTGATGCGCGAGCTTGCCGGCTCGCCCAGTAAGTAATCTGTTTCAGCAGGTCAGGGGAGTCAAATCATGGGGCGATTCAGGCTGATGTTGGAAATGATCAGTACAGCCTTACTGTGCTTTGATGTACTCCAGGCGAAGGCAAAATTAGTAACATTACGAACAGAAGCCCCGGACCAGAATACGCCGGAGTACAATAGTATGATGGCATATGGAGTGGTGGGAATGGAAAGGAAGCGACAACTCTGGGTGCAGCCCGACGTGGTCAGCCCAGCGTGGCCAGAACTTGGGAATGTCTCGCCGTATGTGATTTCCCTCCCTCTCATCAGCGAGATCAAAACTTGCGAAGAGGGCTACTCGCTTTATAGGGCCTCGATGTGCGTGGCGGGGACTTGACACCAGCTACTAGGCGTGTGTACATCAAAATCGATGACAATGAAGGGCTGCTACCGGTGTGACTGAGACTCTCCTAAGCTCTTCGCGAACAAGGCCGGCAGTTTATACTTTAGACTTGAGCTCTTCACCTGATCGCAATCAAATATGACCGTAGCCTCTGTACTTTTTCTGATCCTCTCAGGATCTCCAACGATCCCAGAAACACCCTGCGCTTGCTACTCGTATGAGATGACACAACATTCATACGAAGGTTTACATGGCGGTCGTACTTCCAGACCACAACATACTTCATAACACCAAGCCAGCGCTGATAGGCCAAAGCACATATCCGGGAAGCTATTAGATGCTCGAAGGCGACATATAAGAAGGCCGCGTCGTGGACTATTTGTGGAACATGATCTACATCAAGACTTCTAGCGACATTGCGTGAGCGAGGGCCAACAAAAACCATAGGATGTACATACCTCGCCCTACGCACGCACCCTGCACGGTGAGAGAAGCGAACGCGCTACACAGAGCCAATCTCGTGTCCAAAGGAAGACTCTGCACGCCGTCTTTGGTGCAAAGAGACCTAGCGTCCATGCTTGGGGAAAGGGATAGACAACCTTTCGAGATGGTAAGCACAGAAGACACTAGGAAAGGGAACCATCATACCGGGAGATCCCTGGCGAGGCTCATCGGTGCATGTCTCTGTACGAGCACTGAGGGCACAAAGTCTTACCCGGCGGTAGAAATTTCTGAACCGGCGGTCCACAACCTGTTGCATGGTTTGAGTAAGCGATATACACATGATGAGTGACAGTTACTGATGTACCCACCTGCTTGTAAGCTTTCAAGTCTTGCACGATTGCCGCCCGTGTGAAGAGAGGGTGTTCGGCAAATATACGCTCCTTGCGTGCAGAGGCCCATTTGCTTACTGTCCCGAATCCAGAGAAGGTACCGTCCTCCGCCAAGATGTAAGGCGCGAACTCTTCCTCTAGAATCTTGTTCAAGACGCCGGTTTGACCGGACGTCAGACGGCAAACTCTAGCGGGCTTGGGTGAATGAGGCATGGTGGGACGGGAACAGGACACAGGCGATCTGAAGGTATATGAGAGAATCTGAACACTACGCACGTGTTTGTGTGTAGTGTTTCCTTGATACGCCGCCCATCTGAGCGCTCGCGTAGTGCGAGGGGTCTCCCGCGCCAATCAGCTCGACTTCTCGGAAACATGAATGCAAGATTCACCGGACTTGTGGACAACCTTACTCTCATCATGCAGGGTCGCCGCCGAGCTGCGTCAATATCGAGTCACCATCCGCGTATTCTACCACCCTTCAGACCCTCGGGCTCTGGCTCAGAAGGCGCAGGAAGACAAAATTTTGCTGGCGGATCTCCACGAGGAAGCCTCTGAGGCCGAGGTCGCGCGGGGCATTGCGAAACGTCTCAAGACCACCTAGATCGCAGAGCGAACGAGCGGGTCCGGTGCATGAATATGAATTACAGAGCGGCGCTCCGCGCCCTGAGCGCTCAGGCCAGCTGGGAATGATGAATGCAGGTTATCGACGTCGAGGCCGAGAACAGGGTGGTTCCCAACGCCCTACTCATGATGTGACCACGTGGGTTCCTGATCGAGGTCTTGTCGACTGCGCTGTGTTGTCTTCGAGCGACGACCATGTCTCCTTTGAAGATATCGGTACCGTGCCGGGGGTGTCGCTTTGCAGAGCAGCTGCAAAGTTGTGCATGTGAACCTCTACCCTTTGTGCGTTGCCCGATCGTACCCTGCGTTCGCGCTTTTCGTCTACCCATCATCGATTTTCGACTGGTTTCTTCCCATCTGCTTGTAGCTGGCCTGCCGAGTTTCCTTCCACGGCGACATGTGGTCCCAATGTCTGTCTTCGCGCCACTCGCAGGACACCAAAGGTCTCGACGGTCTGGCATGGCTTGTCGGTGCCGCTCCGCATCCGCCAATCTCTTATACTTCGCATCGATCTTCTCGGTCGAGGGCATCCGCCAGGTCGTCGACATTGCTGCGGCAAACCCGGACTTCCCGATCATCATGCCATGGACGGGCGGCCGCGCTGGTGGCCACCCCAACTACGTGGGCTTTCACCCGCGATAACATTGTCCTCATCGGCGGTTCTGGGTTTGGTGTCGGCGAGCAGCTGTGGCTTTACTGCTCTGATGAGTGGAGCGCCGCGTATGGGCATCCAGCCGATGCCATTCGGCACTTTTCTCTTCGGCTCGTGGGCCATGATCGCGAAGGAGGCACACGCAAGCGCGAGCGTCAAGGACTCGATTGTGGCTACGTCTATGGCCAAGGATGCGCAGCGGGAGGGAACCTACGGGAAGGAGACGAGTGGGACCGTGTCAGCCAGGAGCGAGTTCGACGAGTCGATCCACAAGGTCGCCACCTTCACCATCGAATTGTGAGAGGAGTTCGACGACTTAGTGCTCAAGCTGCCGAGGGAGAAGGGGAGAGATCGTCGGCAAGCTGAACAAAGCCTCGGTCTGACGTGAAGGACAGGTACGTTTCTACTACTCACCACGCTCGGTGCTTTGTTCACTCACTGTATCCCTATGTAGTTCGATTGCTGAGGATCTCGACGATGTGACGTACGAGGAGAGCATTCTCTGTCTCGTCCGCCTCATGTACGTGGCGCACGAGATGCGCCGGGTGGACATCTCGCTTTGCAACCTCACAGGCGACTGGCTTCGCTGTGTTGAGGAATCCTTTGCTGGCGCGGCCAAGACGTGGCTTCTGCAAAGCTACCACCAGTTCGACAAGCCCCATGCGTTCGTCGAGGGGTCCTTGAAGGTCCACCCGTTAACCACGGAGCAGCCGCTTGCGAGCGAGGACCGCGCTTACTTCCTCGCGGCCTCGCGGTGTCCCGGTCAGGAACCCGTGCCGTTCATCCAGTTGTTGAACTCGACGTTCGAAATCTGGTTCAAGAAGAAGGTACGTTCGGACAAGTCATGCTGTGGATATGCGATATACTGATGTACTTTATAGGACTCGCTCCGGTAGGCCGAGGAGATCAAGATCGAGGGTGTCTCCTACCAGGAATCCCAGCGTGTCTGCATTCTGCAGTGCCTCGTCACTGCCAAGTACCCCCTCAAGGCGGACATTCCGATCAAGGAGACGCTTTATAGTGTCACCGACGTCCTCGTGGAGAAGTTTCTCGAGACGACCTACGATGGCGAGGAGACCAAGGTCCTGGTCGTCACTGACGTCAAGGTGGAGAAGAAGGGCGATGAGGATGTGCACGTTGTCGGCGCATCAGCCTCTGAGAGCGGTGCCTGGCTTAAGAAGCTCGCTGGCACAGGCTGGCACCGAGCTCAACTGATGGCGCGCTTTCATCACGACCCCGGCCTTCGTTCAGGATGTCGCATACGTCGACTATCCCGACTGCCACCTCTTCGCTCCTCGCGCAGGTCAGCGCGTCACCGCCCATGAGAACATCTCTGGTGCGCGGCTCTTTTGAGTGCTGCACGCTCCTTCGGCGCACACCCAGCCGACTTCAAGGCGGTTGACACCGGTGCGCACGAGATCGGCATCACATTCTTCGAGGAGCGCCATGATTCTTCGATACCGCTTTCCCTCGGCCTTGCATACAAGCCCGAGCAGTCTTTCGCGTCCGCCTTCGAGGCCTCGACAGGCCGCAACGACAGGATCAAGGACTTCTATTGGCGACTGTGGTTGGGCGGCAACAAGAAGCTGCCTGCGCTCAACGTCCGCAATCCCTTGACCGGTCCCGAGGTTCATCGTCTCGGCTGAGGACGTCAAATAGTCCTGCGCCGTTATCGGCAGCCAGAAGGGAGAACTCAAGGTCGAGCGCGCCGAGAACACCAAGGCGCCGCTAGACTTTGCTATCGTTACGGGCTAGCAGGCTATCATGAAGGCCATCTTCCCCGGTACCATCGACGGTGACCTCATCAAAGCTCGTCCACCTCTCCAATGGGCTCAAAGCCGCTGACGATGCGTGCGCTCTGCAGTCTGGCGACGTCTGTCACGCTGAGGCCCATGTTATTTCGCGGTCAACGGCAATGCGGGTGTGACAGTGTACGTGCGAGGGCATGTCCTCTGCGAGGGAGAGCCAGCGAGCCGACGAGTGCAGATCAATGACCGTCGGCATGTCCTCCGTCTTCCGCCTCCGTAGCGAGGTCGCCTACAAGGGCAAGGACAACTACCGCCCGGTTGTGGTTGCTGGCGATACGTTCGTGCGTGGCGCGCTCAAGAAGCTCGTCAGGGTCGGCGCAGTCTCGTTCGAAAGGAACGGCTGCCAGGGCAATCCCGTCATCGCTTACTTCCTTCGCCACGGCGCCGCGCAGGGTCAAGCTATCCCGCTCTCCAATAAGTACACGCTCACCACACCCACAACAAACAAGCCCTACAGCGGGGTCTCTAGCGGCTTGAACCCTATTCGCGTCACACCGTACTTCCCCGGACTACGCCAGCTTGCTCAGGGGGAGATTACATTTACATACCGCATCATGTAACTACGACAAACTGCAGTTGAAACCTACATACGGGTAGTTTGGAGGTATTGTATGAGAGAAAGTATATGAGGCATCGTAGGAGGACTTAACACTGAGGGGCTCATGGGATGTGGTCTCCGGCGGCTGCACGCCGCTTCGTCGAGCAGGGACATTCGATGAGTCTCGTTGCCAGCTGTCAGAAAATAAACATATCGCTACATCATCGCGGGGCAAGATGCACACTTCAGCGCACTTTAGCGCAATCTACATGTTTGCAATATAGAGTCATTCTTGCCGTTCACGGCTTCGTGACAATAAGTACTTGCTGTTCACTCAGAGAAGCCGACCGGGGCACTACCCAAGTGACTGCCATGGTCATGCGACAAGGTGCTGTTCCCATGGATTGGTCCAGACACCCACGACCTTTATATTGGACGGTCGAAGGTTCATACGACCCCGACTTGACCCCGACCGACCGATTATCGTCTCGGTCGTGCGGAGTAGGATATGTTCCTTCATTTGGATTTACAGGGCGGCCAAGAATCAGGATCGTTCACATATCGTGCGATGAGAGTTGGGACAGGAGAAGGCGAACATAAAGGACGAGAACCGTAGGGCGTCCGTAAGTATCAAGCGTGAATATGGGAGGAACGAGAAACGTAGATGAGCTAATCAATCGTGGGATGCATGGTATTCAGAACGAGGAGGTAATAATAGCAACTGGAAGAGCTTGGGTCCATGGAGTCTGAAGGTGAGGTTTCACGACACTGCCCCAGAGAGTCTCGACAGGAAGTGAGGGTGTGCGTAGTACATACAGCCCGAGCAGCGCCGATCAGTACGCCGTAACGGCTACACACCGACTCATGGGTTTGGCATTCAGTCAGCCACCCCTTTGACAGTTGTGCACCGTGCGGAATTCGTCGAATGCTGCGTCGTTGTAGACTCATTGCTGTCGCGGCGGACTGGACCGATGCCCACTGTGGTATTGCTGATCCGTATGTTGCCGATTGCACTCTGGCCCTGGGATGCACGGTCTTGACGATTCTGTGACATGTCGATTGTCTCCAGACAAAGACGGGGATCATTATTGTCGGGGGCCGATGGAGCTGTCGTGGCATCATCCAGGATGACGATGCTCGATAGGTCGCGCAGCGCATCATGTGCAACTGGATCAAGCCCTAGGGTTCCCAGAGCAGCTGAACCTGTGCGAGCCCGCACTGAGGTGATCACGCACTCCTGACGCAAGAATGTGCTCAAGCGTTCGGACGGTTCCTTGCCCACTGTCGTGCTATCGAGGCTGAATTGCCGACGCCACTCCCACATTCCCGGTCTCCCTGCCGGGATATAACCAGTGTCGGGCCTTTTCCAATCACCAGGACGCCAGTTGCAATCGCTCACAGCTGCTAGCAGTGTGAACGCATTACGCGACGCGAGCTCGATCCGAGAACCTTCCGAGTGGTCTTGAAGGAGAACATCTATATTCTCGTGGTCGTTTGAAGACACCTTGAGCAGGTGCAGACCACCGACGGTGTCCAGCGCAGCGAGGAGAGATTGCAAGTTACGCCTTGCCTGGAAGCCCGGATGATCCGGCGCGCAAGGGTTCCCCTGCACTTGCCCTAGCGCCTCGATGAGCGTCCAACGGAGGCTCGCAACCGCCGTGACTATCGTGGTATCCTGTTCAAGCAGTGCCTCGGCGTTCCGCATGCCGACTTGCTCCGCGAACTTCGGGAACACACTGACGATGGCTGCCATGTGTCTCCAACGTATATCTTGATTGCTGTGTATCTGCGACAGATTATCCGCCGAGTTCTCTGCGATTAAGAGCATCTGAATGAGACGGATAGAGCCTACGGCGGCGCGAACTGAGTCGATGCGGTCGAAGGCGCGGGCGACTCTAACCATGGTGACCTTGTCGTTCCGAATGTTGACAAAGAAGTCCGATACGCCTTTGTGCTCCATGTTCAGCAGGCAGCGGGCGAAATGACGCAGGGCTACTGGAGATTTCACCAGCTGTGCCCTTGTCTGCGCCGAGAGATACGCCAGTGCTCGGCCGGCGATGAATTTCTCAGTTCGCACTGGTTCAAACGCGCGCTGAACAATCTGATCGAGCTCCTGGTTGGTTTTTCCGTGGAGGATGCCCCCCAGCAGAGGGCGCAGAACGCGCGCGGATGAAACAGGGTCTCCCAAGAACGCCCAGATCTGCCGGGGATCAAGGTCTCGGAAAGCGATTTTCTTGTTCTTGACCCAGCTTCGCACAGCAGCCGACGCATTCACCAAGTACAGCGTGGCGCACGCGAGGAACGTAATGGCGCCGTAGAAGACCCCGTAAAGGACATATCCCAGTGGTGTGCGGTAGGGGCACTGGGGATCCACCAAAGGGATGATGCTAGCTATGGTGTAGAGCAGTGCGGCCAATGCGGAGAGTATGGCGACGGATAACCCTGGGACCGAGTGGAGGGGGCCCAGAGACAGAGAAAGCCCCACAAGGAAGAGGACCACAGCCGAGTGCACCAGTCCGATGACGAGTGTTGCGAGTTGATCTACGCCATAGCGCTTGAGGGCGGTGTACGAATGAAGGCACCTCAATGCGTATCGTTCTACGCTCTCGGTCACCGGGGGAGCTTCAGTTCCCGCGGATGTTCCAAGCCAGTCCTGGACCATCATCGCAAGCAAAGCGGACAACAGTGAGGTCACCACACAAAGGGACCACAGAGTATTGACGACTACCGAGCTTTGTCTTGTGCGAGACGGCTCGACGAAGCTTGTTGTCGGTATCGTCACGTTCGATGGCAGCATGCCATTTGCCAATAGAGCGTTCGTGAGCACGTCCATTGTCTGAACATTCGGATCGGGTGTGAGGGCTCTGTGGCCGTCAAGAAGAAAAATCGCGACTGTGGCAGCAAGAAACCCGGTCTGCGCGGCGCAGTCAGTGACTGAAACATGGGGGTTACGTCCGTACACACAAAGTTCACGGTTCGATTCATATTGGCCTCGCTCGCGCGGACGAGCCCTCCTCTCTCCCTGGACATCTTGCTCAAAAACAACCGCCAAAAACCATCTCCCTCAGCTCCTCCTCCTGAAGCGCCCGACCCGCCAGTATACTTGTGTTGATCTGAGAATCGCATGAGTCCGCGTGTAGATTGCGAGATGCCGGATTTGGCAATTGAGGTGGCTTATTTGCGCAGATGTGCGTTGACGGCAGAGGACGACCGGAAAGGGGACAGACCACCCCCTTAGTTAAATAAGTAGCCTCAGCGTCAAATTGTCGCGATGAGGACAGATACTCGTATCTGAACTGCCTCTCGGACTCCGACAGATGGGTTCGCAGTCATTTGGTCCGGTCGAGCGTGAGTTCACGCGTCAAGCGCTATGCAATAGAAGCCTGATACAAGCTGAAGGCGACAGCAGAAATTATGAATTTCCGGAAATTCGAGGATATCAATTTAAGTGGTAAATGGTAATGGATATGGTCTACAAAAAGTGATTATAATCCATACCAAAGTGCGCAACCCAACGCAAATTCTGGGTCATGGAACTTGCGGGATGTCTACCTCGACGATTGTACTCAGATCATACATAATTACTTGAGGTTATTATCATGCCTACAGGGCGATGCGCGCTAAAATTGCTTCCCCCCTTCTAACCGATCGGAACGACTGTGCTCCAACTATGGCCTGCGTCCGGACAGTCCCTATGAACGGGGTGAGAGTCCGATACGCGCAGGCGCTGATCTCTACGGCACATTGAACTACATCAGGGATAATCGGTCGGTCGGGGTCAAGTCGGGGTCGTATGAACCTTCGACCGTCCAATATAAAGGTCGTGGGTGTCTGGACC